ACATATCTTTACCGGTTGGGTTGTCTCTATATGCAAGACTGTGATCCCCAAGTTCCAGGTATCGGCTAAGAAAAATGTTAGTTCCTACTGATCTTTGTTATCGGCGACGTGCCGAAATTATCTTAACCATTGCCATTGACCCACGCGCGGTCGCCAATTATGTAGGATGCACCTGCCTTTGTTGTAATTGGCACGACTACAACAACACATCTGGGTTTCGGAAGATAGAGTTCTGTGCACTATCGCTCTAGGGTTCGCTCTTCGGAATTGTCGGGGTTCTTTCTATCTCTTCTTCTAGCTGTTCTACTGGTAGACTGAACAAAAAAAAATGGTGGGTCTCTAAAGACTGTTAGGTAGAACAGGTGTCGCTTTCAGATTCTGCTCTAAGCCCTCCCGACCATGACAATATTGGAGTAAAGTTCTAATTCTAATTCAGCTTCAATTATTGACGGAATTCCCATCAGTTTATTCACAGGTAAATGGGAGAAGGAAGTCCACTGAATCCCGGATGAATTAGAAAAATCAACTATAACCAACCTGCCAAATACAAACAGGACGCTATTTCTAATTAAACAAAGCCAAACAACTTGGTTTCGTAGACTATTCAAATCATCAATTTTAATTGATGATTCGTAGTCAAGAACACCCAAATCTTTACCAAATTCTAATAAGTTTTCCTTTCCCATAGGTATAAATTCTTCCCTAATCCGGAAGCTACTTTCTCCCTTATTGCGTTCCGGTTACACCAACGACCGCAAAAGGACATTGGACTAACATTTGACCATGAACTAGACGTCGGATGGCGGAAGGATATTTCCCCGGAAAGGAAACAATTGGAATTAGTTAGAACCTTTAGATTTACGTATTAATGTTTTTATTTTTTTCAATTCATTCTACCTGGTTTAAGTAAACTTAAACATAACCCTTTTTCATCTTTATAACAAGACGCACAGTATTAAGACTGGTCATTTTTCGCTTTCACCGGTCGCAGTAGGCCATATAAAAGTTTATTTTGACCTAGTCGTCGGCTTCTGCAAAATCCTATCCTTTTCTTGTCTCTGTACTTTACACTTCTTTGTCTAACTACTTATAGCTACATCACAATTGAGAAACTATCACTTAGTATTACGCAAATCTACTCTAGGCATGTGCCGAGTGGATGCCGCCGCTGTGAGCCAGAGACAATTACTCAAAACGATATAAGCCTGGTCTTTAATTCCTGTTCAATACCGAGCAGACTCGCACGCAACTGCTCTTTTCAAAAATGAAATCTTACTCACACAAGTGTGAAACCGACGTTTAACAACACTATCATCTGCACCGTAACTTACTAATTCAAACTCAAACACTCAATTAACAATTTGGCTACATATATTTGGCATGGCCTGGACCATATTTCTGGATTGGAGGTCACATGCTCATCCCCCCAAATAAAATACGGACTAAAAGTTAATTTTTAGGTCATGTACTCCCTGAAAATTTCCTTTTTATACCCGTTGCTCGTAGAGTAAAGGGGTATTCTAGATTCGGAAAGTATGTAACAGGCAGAAGGAAGCGTTTACCCCATAAAGTAAATATATTCTTGATCAGGATCACTAGCCGAGTCGATCTAGCCATAACCGTCTGTCCGTATAAACGCTGAGATTTCGGAAACTGTCAGAGCTACAATACTGGGATTAGACATGCAGGTTCCTGAGATTACTGCGCTGCGAAAGTTTGTTTCAGCAATGTGCCACGCCCACTCTAACGCCCACAAACCAACCAAACCTGTGGCGCCCACAATTTTCATGATGGGTACAAAATCTTAACTGAAATGTATTGGTCTCGTCAATACCTATCGATTGATTCAAAAAAAGTTTGCCACGCCCACTCTAACGCGCATAACGCTTAAATCTGCCTACCGCCCACATAACTGCTTGCATGTCTCCATTTCCCTTTGGTCCTATTAGCTGAGTAACTGGTATCTGATAGTCGAGGTACTCGACTATAGCGTTCTACCCTGTTTTTTTTTTAAATTTTGCCCTATTTTATTGGTGACGAATGTCCGAATATTTTGGGTCATCGTTTGCATTTTACGTAGAAATATTAGACAGCTAAAAGAATTTTAAACTAAACATGTTTGTTAGATATTGATGTTGGACAAAACCAAATAATTATTGTATTGCTAATAATTATTTAATCTATTATTTAAGGAACTATTTTATATATTATAAAGTGAGTTGCAGAAGTCCACTCAGAGAAAAACCGTTTTCAAAAGTGAGCCAAGTTCTCAAAACCTAGATCAAAGTCTGTTTGGTTTGCAAATGGCTTTTGAGAATGTATGTTCTCGATATAGAGATGAAGTCTTCTGGGTTTCAACAAAAATCTTTCTCGGTTTTAACATCGAATTGATCTCAATTTCAAGATGAATCGTTCTTGGATTCAATCATAAATCGTTCTCCCTCTCAGTTTCCATTCTCACATAAAAATTCTAAATTTCTTAATATTTCGCCATCCCTTATGTACCTTAGGCACTCTTAGGAAAGACCGGCAACTAAAACAATAAGCTATTATTATCAGTAAACATACTATAGTGAGAACGCATCTTTTGGTAGTTTTAATATTCTTTATGTTTTATTCTTTATTTGTATTCAGGGGCAGCATTAATGCCGCTTCTAACGTGAAGTTGTTTCTGATTTAACAATTTGCCTTAGGATCTAAGTAAGCCTAAGTCTCGTAGCTGCGCTGCGATCAAGTGTATTGTATATCAAGTGTATTTAATTATGCTCTCTTTAGCTGGAGTGCGAGGGTATATGTATGTACTTGAGTTTGGCTGAGCGGCCGGCGTGTGCAACAGAATGCCGACACTTGCACTTTCTGTGAGCGCGCCGATCGACTCATGTTTCGGCTTAGGTTTTTGACAAAGTGTTACAGTGTGTTTGCTTCAAGTACTCTTAGTACAGTAGATATTCAGTATATGTGCATACTACATCTCCCTCCTTTTGAAAAATAACGTAATATTATGAAGTTATTTTATTAGTATGTTTTACTTAAAGGAATAATTATTATTTTTTTTTTATTTTTTTTTTAAATACAAAGAGAATGGAATTGGGAATAATATTCGTATTTAAAAAAAAAGTATTTCTAAGCATGGCCATGCTAAATGCAATTATGAAATAAACGTTTTTAATCTATCCCTATGTACTGTTTGTTTTATGTTCTTATTATTTGTTATTATAATGTTATTTATTTTTCCTATTTCCGTTACTTTATACGGAACGGTATATTGATAATCTAACTTATGACCTGTTTCATTTCTTAAAAGGACTTGATCACCTACTAATATATCTATGTTTTTTATTTTCTGATCATATACTATATTATTATTTTCCTTATTTTTTTCTATCATTATTCTAGCTCTTTTGTATGTTACTTTAAATCTATATTTACTTTCCTCAGCATAGTCATCTATATTATATATGGGCTCTATATGTTCTATACTATTAAATTTTTTTGGTAAATTATTTGTTTTACCAAATACTAGCTTATATGGACAATAATTATGTGCCATTGAAGGGGTCGTGTTGAAAGAAAAAACGAAATATTAAGCCATACGTCCCAATCAGTTTTATTAACCGATATATATGAGCGTATGTATTCATTGAAAGTTCTATGACTTCGTTCTATTGTTCCTACTGTCTGGTGGTGGTGTGCTGTTGGTGTTATATTTTCAATTTTAAGATATTTGCACAAGTCATTTATAATTGAATTCTTATATTCTGTACCCATTTCCGTAATGAAGGTCTTCATTGGACCGTTCTTCAGAATAAATGATTCAAAAATTGCTTTAGCGACAGTGTTCGCGTTTTTATTTGGAACTGGTATGGCAACTAAATGTTTAGTCAGTTCACATATTAGAGTGACTGCATACTCATTGCCATTTTCTGATTTTGGTAATGGACCAATTGTGTCCACTATCACTCTGTCGAAAGCATTTATAGGCGTATCAGTTTTTATCAATGGAGTCTTATTGTGCTTAGATATTTTAGCTTTTTGGCATTTCTGTCATTTTTGTATGTATTCAGTAATATCTCGAGTCATACCTTTCCAAAAATAATGTCTTTTGACCTTGGCCAAGGTTTTTGTAATGCCAGTATGTCCTCCTTGTATTGGATCATCATGGAATTTAGACAGAATTGCTTCTTTCTCGTCTTGTTTTTCTATAAGGGCCACCGGGTTGAGTAGCGCTACTCTTAAGGTATTCAATATCTTGTTGTCCATTTGTTTGAAATTATCTATTGATACAGGTTCAAAGATATTTTCCCGCGGTGCCATTTTGAGTTGTCTGATTTTGTTTATACCGGCTTGCATTTCAAGCCTTTGGAAAAATTGACCTAAGTCTAGGATTCTATTGGTATATAAATCGCTAACATCATATCTTGCAGTAATTTTCCTACTATGTTTAAATAAACATAGCATATCCTTTACATGCAAGGTCACTACCTTACGTACTTCGTCATTGTTTATGGCTTCATATACGTTGGGCTTAGAAGCTTTCTCTATAGAACGCGTAGGCAATTCTATTTGTTTGTTTTCCGCGCGGAATTTCTGTCTATTTTAATATCTAGTAGTGACTTTCTTTATATTTCCAGTAATGTTTTGTAGATCTTTAATGGTTATTCTTGATAACGCATCAGCTACATAATTGTCTTTTCCCTTTAGGTATTCAACTGTTACTGTGTTTATGCGATGCCGAATTCGCGCTTTCATTTCGCGATTTCAGCCGATTCGTGTGTGCATAAACGCCATTTCGTGAATTCGGCAACACAAGAAAGTTGACTATGAATTCAACCTGAAAGCGTGAAATGGTCACAATTAAATTCCGGTAACTCTATATAATTATCGGAGTTGCCAGATCGATATAAATACATAAATACACCCTACATTTAACAAATTTTTTGTTCATTCAGTGCCAATGGAAACTAGTTTTCATCTTTTATTTAAACGGTGAAAAAATGTTATACTGGCTTGCACACACTTTATCTTTAATACAAGCAAGATTATTTCATGCGAATCGAAAAAAAATAATCGGTTTTATAATCGCTAACACCTTTTTCCACCGGTCCGGCATCTCTGTCAGCTGAGATTGATAAAAAGCATGAATTCGGCTGTGTCGCATAAACAGGAGCAAATTTTATTTCACGCTTTTAAGAAATCATGAAACCCTTAGCATAAACATAGTATGTGAAATCATACTCTTCTAACTCTAGCCTCATACGTGTCAGTTTGGAACTCGGATTTAGCATTGAAAATAGATATATTAATGGTCTGTGATCTGCTTTAATTGTAAAGTGATTTCCATAAATATATGGTCGAAAATTAGAGCTGGAGAACAATCGTTGGTGGGACCATCGATGGTTTTCGATTGTTTTAGAAAAACAATCGATGGACTATCGGTGATTTAAAAAAAAAAAATAAATAAATAAAAAAAACGGCAAAAATGTCTATTTTGCTCGTAGCTTCCCCTCGACGCTTAGGACTCGAAGCTTCCTCTTGACGCTTAGGACTTGTAGCCTCAGGCTCGCATAGTTTGTTTGCTGATGCTGCAGAATAAAATGTTAATGTTAAAAGTTGTCACACCAAAGTGCACTGAAAACACGTGGATTTATAAGATTACACATGCACACATACACACACATGTACAAGTGCCAAAGCGCATTTACTTACTTTTGAGAAACTTGTCCATAATCCATTTCAGGCCACTGCCAGCACCAACACCACCACTTTTAAGCTAATAAAACAATATAAAAATAAGTTAACTGTGTAATCAATTTTACTTTTTTATGTACTTACATATTAATTCACTTGTTCGCTTGCCAACTCCCGCTAAAAAAGTGATGGGAAAAGAAAAAAAGGAAAACCATCGATAGTGAGAAAAAACAATCGACTTTCACGAAACTTTGAGACAATCGATACTATCGATGTTTCCATCGATTGTTCTCCAGCTCTACCGCTCACGGACTGCCTAAAAAATAAAACGAAATTTACGTGAACGGAGGAAGCAACTATGGCATTTGAAACACTGAAGAAAGCACTTACCTGTGCGCCGCACACTGGGCCAGCCGATCCGATTTTTGGCCAAAAATACGTTTTTTTTTTTAAGAAACTTACCATACCGAGTATGATGTCTGTTTGTGGGGAAGACAACAAATATGCCACCCTTATATTTATAATTAATAACGCACGAATAGGTTATATTAAAATGTATAGCGTTTATTCGGAGCGGCAGACGGACTGTGAATGTGTAAAAAGCTTGGCTCCAAGATCTTCATATAGACATATGCAGGCTTACAAAGTAGTTGCTGAATAGATAAGCGACAGCTTTATGGGTATAAGAAAGAAGGCGAAAGATAAGCAGAGAGCGATGCAGGTGCCGTCGTACACCTATGCGCGCATGACTAGGCGCTGGCGATCTGCTCCGAACATACTCCCCCCGTTGGAAGAGGTAAGGTTCCAACTATCTCGGAATCGATGGGCAGAACGGCTAGCTTGGCGACGGCTCTCTTGATCAGACCCGTAGCTGTACGGACCATAGCTACTCTGATGACTCCGTCCCCGCCGGGTATGACTTCTTGGATGCACCCAAGCTGCCATCTCAAGGGTGGAACGTTGTCCTCCTTAAGCAAAACTATGCGTCCAACCTTGATGTTAGACGTTTCGACGCGCCACTTGCTGCTCTCTTGAAGTAGGGACAAATACTCGCTGCTCCACCTTTCCCAGAAATGTTGCTGCATCTGGGTAACCCGCTGCCATCTGCTGAGGCGGTCTTCGCGGAGATGAGTAATGCCAGGCTCAGGAAACTTAGTGTAGCTGGAACCCTTCAAGAAATGCGCCGGTGTTAGCACCTCAAGGCTTTCAGCATTTTCTGAAATTGGACAGAGTGGACGGGAGTTAATGATGGCAGAAATCTCATATGCAAGAGTTCTTAATTCATCGATGGCTAAGATGGATGCACCGACGACTCTGTAGAAGTGAAATTTAGCTGACTTCACAGCGGCCTCCCATAAACCACCGAAGTGCGGGGCACGCGGAGGGATGAACTTCCAATCGATCCCATCAGCTAAACAGACGGAAGATATCGATGCTGTGTGCTGCTCGCTCAAAAAGAGCTCTTTCAGCTCGGCAAGCTCTCTCTTTGCACCGACAAAGTTTGTAGCATTGTCGCTCCAAATGGTACGCGGACTGCCTCTAAGGCTGATGAATCTCCTCAGCGCTGCGATGAAAGAATCCGTCGTGAGATCCTGGACCACTTCCAAATGAGCAGCCTTCGTGGAAAAACAGACAAAGACGGCGATATAGCACTTGTGGGGTGCCTTATTTCTGGCCTCTGCTTTATTGTAGAATGGCCCACAATAGTCCACTCCTGTGGTATGAAAAGCTGGATTAGGCTGCACTCTATTTGCTGGAAGGCTACCCATGACGTGCTCCCAAGTAACACGCTTCATTCGGAAACATCGGACGCATTTGTTGATAACGCTGGCTCGAACTTGCGGCCTCCAATCGGCCAGTACCTTTGCCGTAATGCGGCAAGCAGGGCCTGCGATCCTCCATGCAAATATTTCTCATGATAATAAACGATGATCGCCTTGGTGACTGGATGATCCTTGGGCAACAGTATCGGATGCCTCGTGTCGTAGTCCAAGTTTGCGTTCTGAAGCCTTCCACCCACGCGAAGTAACCCATCGGAGCCGAGTATAGGTCTAAGCGAAACCAGCTTGCTTTTCTGTGGAAACGGCTTGCCCTGGCTAAGAGATCCATACTCCTTCGCCAAGTTAACCTGTTGGATGCTCCTCAGAAGAAGTACAGTTCCAGAGTTGATCTCCTCCACCGAAAGTCGACCTTTTAACGGCGCAGATTTGGCTCTCCAATTTGAAATGAATCGATAAATGTATGCAAATACGCTCTGCAACTTATCGAAAGAGTTGAGGAATTTGCAGTTTGATGAACTGTCTATGCAAACGGCCCCATTCGAATTCGGTCTCTGTTGTACACGGACGCGTTTTATATTTGCTCCTACATTTATTCGCCTAGTGTCTAAATTACCGATCTGATATATTCCCAAAGTTTCATTTTCAACTCGGTTGAGACCGCCGTTTGCATGCAATTTAGTTATTTGTGTTAAAACCATTATCTGTATTATTATATTGGATAATAGTTAAAGACGCGGGTGCTTTGTGCATTGTTGTTGTTTCTTATTTACATTGTTCTTTTGGCGCTCTCTCGCACCGTTCGCTCTGCTACATTCTCCCAACTTCAGTCACCGGCTCTCATTTTCGAGTTAACGGGTCTTTGCTGAATTGGTCTTACCGCTCTCTTTTCTTATCTTTCCTCTGCGTTTTGCAAAGTCACACAGCTGTTTGTTGGCACTCATCTAAAGCTTCTTACTTTTTCTACTTTTTCTACATTCTACATTTAACTGGCCTCAACTTGTAAACAATGTCTGCCTGCTGTGTTGTTGGTTGCCAATTTGTTGGTAAAATCACTTCTCGGCAGCCAATTGTTAGTTGCTGGTTATGTGAGAACATTGCGCACGCAAAATGTGCAGACTTTGGGCATAGTGCTGCCCAAATTGCTGATCGCACTAGATCTAATGCTAACCTGGACTGGACGTGCCCTACATGCCTACATATCAAAATCGATATAAGAGCATTTATGAGGCAAACGGAGCTGGAGTTCCAGGCATTACGTGCTGGATTTACGGACTTATTAAGTCGAATTAATGTTTGCGACTCGAACTTTAAAGGTCGGATTCTTCTAAGTCAATCTTCATTAAATATAAATCGTAGTCCTACACTGCCTAATGTTTCTTTACACGTTCCAGATCTCTCGACCAACCTCTCTCTTCCCAGCCCCACTGCAGGCTATGTGTCGTGCGACGAGGATGATCCCAATGGGATCGAGTCATCAACGAATGACCCCACGGGGCAATCGCTGCCAGATTCAGGGACTGTAGTTTCGCCTGAGTCATTAAGGCCTACTAACCGTTCACCGGCTGTTGCCACTTCCGGGGCTCTGCCGCACCTTGTACTTCCTATAGCTAATACCCTCGCACCTCCTCCTGTCCCACTTACTAGCATGATCCCTAGGAAAAACACGCATAGCCCTGCTCTCTCTTCTCCGGTACCACTCACTGTCATGGTACCTAGGAAATCTATTTTTGTGTCTAGGTTGAATGCAGCAATAACAGTAAATGACGTTATGCATCATATTGTCACAAACCTCTCCCTTCCCAATCAAAATGGTATTGACATCACCAAGTTTAATTTTAAACAGAAAAGAGATTACTCTTCATTTAAAATACTTGTTCCGGACGGGCTGTTCTCTAAACTTCTTAGCCCCAATTTTTGGCCTGCTGATATAATTGTCCACGAGTATATAAAAAAAATAGCTCTCTTTCCATGACTTCTTTGTCGGCGCCCAGCTCTGATATAAATTCAAAAAACTAAATTAAAAACAGAATGTTCGGGGGCTTCTTAGTAAACTCTCTACGCTTTATATAAATAGTTCAGTTTTTGAGGCCAATGTTATTGTACTCACTGAGACCTGGCTTAACCCATCCGTACACGATAGTGATATTTTGTCTAATAACTTTTTTGTTTATCGGAAGGATCGTCAGACCCGTCGAGGAGGAGGCGTTCTTATTGGAGTCAAATCCAACTTAACTTCTGAGTTTGTTGATATTTCTGAATCATCAGGTATTGAATTTATTTCCGTAAAATTATCTTTCCCAAAAAGAAACATTTTTTTAACCTGCTCGTATATATCTCCCGGCTATGAATTTAACGTGTATCTACTGCACCTGTCCGCCATACATTCTATCTCCTTGTTGCTTACTGAAACTGACCAACTTATTGTGCTTGGTGACTTTAATCTTCCCAATATCTCTTGGTTGGAGAGTAAGGACTCATTGGCAATGATTCCTAGGATGCAAAATGATTTTATTGATTGTCTTGTTGAACTATCTTTACAGCAAGTTAACAGGATTCCCAATCATATTGGTCGTCTTCTGGACTTAATCTTTGTTTTTGATAGTAGCGATGCTGAAGTCAGTCGTATTTCGCCACTATCTTTACCTGAAGATTGTTATCATCCTACCCTTCAGCTCTGTATAAATGGATTTTTTAATAATCCTAGGACTGCAATGAATGTACAGCCTAGTTTGTGTTTTAAGAGGACTGATTATGGCAGACTAGTGGAATCTTTATCGACAGTAAGCTGGTCCTTTCTAGTTGACCTTCCTGTTGATGATGCAGTTAGGCACTTTTATGAGATCCTTTACCGTCTATTTGAAGAACATGTCCCTCTTTCCTCCATGAAGAATTCTTACAGCTCTCCATGGTTTACCCGTCAACTATCTTATCTGAAGAATAAAAAAACAAGACTATTTAAAGGTTTCAAAATATCCGGCTTACAGACAGACTTCACCAAATATAGCTCAGCTAAGGTGGAATTTGTCCAGTACAATACTGATTGTTACAAAAATTACCTGTCTCGTTGTAAGCGGGATTTCAAAAGCAATCCTAAGCTTTTCTTTTCTTTCGTCAATTCTAAACGAAAATCTAGCTGCTTCCCTCCCTCTCTCGTTCTCAATAATAAGGTAGCATCTGATGATAATGATATTTGCAACTTATTCGCAGACTTTTTCCAATCCACTTATACGAAATGCAATAATGTCATTATCAAAGATTATCCATACCCGCTACCTCATTTGAACTCTATCTTCAAACCAGTGATTGATGTATCTGATGTTCTTCAGAGTCTTAATACTCTCTCAAGCTCTCATTTTTACCGGGTCCTGATAGAATACCAAGTTGTGTACTTAGGAATTGTTCATCTTATCTTGCTCTTCCCTTAACATTGATATTTAATCTGTCCCTAAGTCAATGTAGATTTCCATCCATATGGAAGGAATCCTTTATTATCCCATTTTTTAAAAAAGGGAACAAGTCTGATATCTCAAACTATCGCGGTATTGCTAAACTCAGTTCTATTCCTAAACTTTTTGAAAAAATTATTACCTGTCAGTTGCAGCATCATTGCAGGTCTATTATTTCACCTTGTCAGCATGGCTTCACTAGATGTCGCTCTACTTCTACAAACCTAC